GGGCCAGAGAGGGATCCAGCCGCGGAGGGGAAGAGGCTGCAGGCGTTCGCGCCTTGCCGGCAAGGACAGGGGCGCCCCACCAGAAGGCGTGGGTCTGGCCCCACCCACCCGGCTCCCGCCTGATTCCCCTCCCCTCCCGCCCTTGCTTCCGACAGACAGAGGCCGTGCTGTGTGAGTGCCGAGTGCGGTTCCTCTCCTTCATGGGCATCGGGAAGGACGTCCGGTCGTTTGCTTTCATCATGGCCGCCGCCCCGGGGAACTTCCTCTGCCACATGGTGTGGTGCGAGCCCAACGCGGCCGGCCTGAGCGAGGCCCTGCAGGCCGCCTGCATGGTGAGTCGTCTCCCCACTCCCCCCCCTCGCCTCCCCGTGCCGCGAGGAGGAGCCCGACTCTTGCTTGGGGGGGGGAGAGACGCTCCCTCCCCTCCTCAAGAGCATGAGGGTGAGGGAGGGCAGATGAGGATCTGCTAGACCCAGGTCCAAATGCCCACTCTGCCGTGGAAGCCAGTCGGACCCTCTCAGCCTAAATACGTGACGTCCTGCCTCGGAGGGTTGTCGTGTGGAGAAGGTGGAAGAGAGGGGAATCAGGTGAACGGCTTGGGTGAGACAAAGCGGTCATGAGGAATGTGAAATGAAGCAGATACATAGGAAAAAAACCCTGCCCTGCAGCCTCCAAGAGGCGTGCCTGTGTTAGTGTGTGTGGGGTGGGTGGGGATAAAGGGGTTTGGTCAGGGGGTGGGGGGCAGTGTTCCCTCTAAGCTGAGTTAGTGTGAGTTAGTAGCCTCCGGCTCACACATGTTTGCCTTCGCTCAGGGAGAGCTCCAGAGCAAACTGATTTATGCAGTCGCCAAATCGCTCGCTCACAACTTTAATGGCCGGCGCTGACAAAGTAGGATTTTTGAATCACATAGAGTGGGAAGGGGCCCTACAGACCACCTAGTCCAACCCCCCAGCCCAGTGCAGGACCAGCCTAAAGCATCCCTGACAAATATTCGTCTGGCCTCTTCTCGAAAGCTGCCAGTGAAGGGGAGCCCACCACCTCCCTAGGCGGCTGATTCCACCTTTGGACCACCCTGACCCTGAAAAAGTTTTTCCTAATATCCAGCCGATACCCTTTCTGCGTGTAATTTAAAGCCATTGCTTCGGGTCCCGTCCTCTGCTGCCGACTGGAACGGCTCCTTGCCCTCCTCCTCCAAAGGACAACCTTTCAGATATTTAAAGAGCGCCATCCTGTCCCCCCCCCAGTCTCCTCTTCTCCAAAGTAAACATTCCCAAGATGTCCCTTGGCCTTTCCTCGCAGGGCTTCTTGGTCTCCAGGCCCCCCATCATCCTCGTCGCTCTCCTCTGCACCCGCTCCATTCCGTCCACATCCTTTTTGAAGTGAGGCCTCCAGAACGGCACACGATACTGCAGGTGCGGCCTGACCAAGGCAGTATGCAGAGGGGCCGTGACCTGCGATTTCGATGCTATGGCCCTTTTGATACAACCCAAGACTGAATTTGCCCTTTTTGCCACCGCATCACACGGAATGCTCATATTCAGTTTACAGTCCACCCTTACCCCAAGATCTCTTTCGCATACACTACTCCCCGGAAATGCATCCCCCGTCCAGTATTTGTGCTTGACGCTTTTGTGGCCCAGATGTAGTGTACTGTGGATTGATCTTTGTTGAATTGCATCCTGTTCGCAACTGCCCACTTCTCCAGAGGATTCAGGTCTTGTTGAATTTTACCTCCATCTTCTTGGGTGTTTGCTACTCCTCCCAATTTGGTATCGTCAGCAAATTCAGTGAGTAGCCCTGCTACCCCGTCACCCAGATTGATAAAAATATTGAAAAGTACCGGGGCCCAAAACCAAGCCCTGCAGCGCCCCACTAGACACCTCCCTCCAACGTGATGAAATGCCTTTGACCACCACAAGACTCCACAGCGTAGCCAGAGCATTCGTTGGGGGGCAGTGATGCTGGCACTTGTACACCCCTCTGTTCCGGTGGGAAGGGCTGGTAGGAGGCTGGAGCCGAGGAGAAGTCGTTTTCGTGCTGTTGTATTCAGCCAGCTGTGCTGCACGGTGGGACAAAAACTCCCAACTTTGCAAGTCTAGGCTAAGAGGGGTCTGAAGCAGTGTTCCCTCTAAACTGAGTGAGTGTGAGCCAGCTAACAGTTTCTTAGCCTCCGGCTCTCACATTTTTGTATCAGCTCAGGAAGGGATGGCTCCGGAGCCAACTAATTTATGCAGCAGCCAAACCGCTTGCTCACAACTTGAATGCCAGTAGAATGCCAGTAGAATTCACCATGTAGAATTTTTGCTCACAGGACTCCACAGCTTAGAGGGAGCATTGGTCTGAACTCGCTGAGACAGAGCGGGAAAGAGACCCGAGGGGCGTAGTGGCGAGCTCCACGGAAGTGTCAACCGAGGTCTGCCGCAGCGGAGAAAAAGGCACACTCTATATGATGGGGATTCTTAGGAAAGGGATTGAGAATAGAACAGCCGATATTGTAACGCCCCGGAATAGATCTGTGGTGCGGCCCCATTTGGAATACTGTGCGCAGTTCTGGTCACCGTCTCTCCAAAAGGACATTGCAGAGGAGGGAGACCAAGAGGATGAAGCGGTTGGGACACCTTCCCTTTGAGGAAGGGCTGTAGATCTTTCCAGTTTAGAAGAGAGACAGCTAAGGGGGGGACGTGATAGAGGTTTATAAAATGATGCATGGGATGGAGAGAGCGGACAAAGGGACATTTTTCACCCTATCCCAAAATAATAGAACTTGAGGGCATCCAGTGAAGCTGACGGGCAGTAGGTTCAGGACAGACAAAAGGAAATACTACTTTACGCAGAGAATGATTAAAATGTGGAATTTGCTGCCAGAGGATGCAGTGATGGCCACAGGAATAAACAGCTGAAAAGGGATTAGAGAGATTCATGGCTACTGGCCATGGCAACTGAGGAGAACCTTCACATTCAGAGGCACTAGGCCTCTGAATCCCAGAGCCAGGAGGCAACACCAGGAGAAGGCCTCGGCCTCTCTGCCCCGTTGTTGGCCCTCCGGAGGGACTGGCTGGCCCCTGTGTGAGACGGGAGGCTGGACTAGAGGGACCCTCCCTGGTCTGACCCAGCAGGGCTCTTCTGGTGTTCTTCTCAGGGGAAGGCCTCGGCCTCTCTGCCCTGTTGCTGGTCCTCCAGAGGAACTGGTTGGCCCCTGTGTGAGATGGGATGCTGGACTGGATGGACCCTCCCTGGTCTGACCCAGCAGGGCTCTTCTTCTGTTCCCTCTCCTTTTCCAGCTTCGGTACCAGAAGTGCTTGGATGCGCGGCCCCAGACTACCAGCTCCTGTCTCCCGGCACCCCCAGCGGATTCCGTGGCTCGGCGCGTGGGCTCCACAGTCCGGAAGGGCGTCCAGACCTTGCTGGGGACCCTGAAACCCAAGCGCCAGGGGGCTCAGACGCCCTGAACACCCAGAGGCCGAGCTAGATCTCCCCCGCCCCCCCGGTTGAGGCCAGCACAGCCGGGTCGGCCTGGCACCTCCCCCCACCCACCCCCTCCAGGTGAAAGTGTGTATTTATGAGGTGTGTGTGTGTCTGCGCAAGTGAGAAGCGTCCATGCTGCCTGCTGTGAACGGCTGCCTCACCCCCCTCTCCCCAGCAACGCCCAGGGCATCCGTGCCACCCCTCCCGGGGCGCCCGTCCGTACCCTGCTGGGCCCAATCCCCACCCCTGCCGCCGGCGCCTGAATGACCGTGAGCACCGGGGAGCCGGAGGAGCGAGACGTCGCCTTCCCTGGGTGCCGAACACTGATGGGGCCTGGGGGGGGGGGGGGGCTGCCACTTCTGCTATAACAAGAGATCTTGGTGTTGTACTGCAGTCATGAATAAACTCAGTTCCCACGACTCTTGGCCTGCTGTCTGGCATCACGCCACACTCCTGCACTGGGGCGTCAGCGGTGGGGAAAAGGTTCCAGGTGTTGGGAGCAGCAGACCTGGCCTCGGCCTTTTCTCCTCTCCAGGCAGAACTGGGACAGGGCTGACCGTTTGGGGGGGGCTGTTTCCCTCCAACCTCTCCCCCCCAGGAGAAAAAGCTCCCTGGAACTGCGGGCGGTAAAGGCGTTGTCCCAGAGGCCTCCTCCAAAGAGCAGCACATCCTGTGGGGGGGGGGCGGAGGGACCACCCAGGCCTCCTCTTGGGCCCCCCCCCCGGCCTCACAGGGCCAACCCATTCTGCTCATGGTGGGGGTGGGGGGAGCACATTGCCGGGTTGCCGCCCCCACCCCACCCCGGGCCCACACTGCCAATGGTCAGCTCGGTGCCCCACTGGCCTGGCCCCACGGCTCTGCACGCACCACCACGGGGAGGGAGAAGAGGCATGCGCAGGTGGGTGTGAGAGGAGGAGCTCACCGTCTGAGCAGACGAGACCAGTGTTCCCTCTAAGCTGAGTGAGCGCAGATGTGACCTTGGTGGGTATTCTCTCTGTAAATCACCCGGCCTGGGAAATGTAACAGTTTAGGTGCAAAAATGCTTGCTTGCTCACTTCTGCCCGCGCGCGCGGGGAAATCATCTATTGCCTTTTGCAACCGGGGTGGTGGTGTTTGGATACCCTATGAGCCAGTGGCCATCCTATTACCGTCCATTCCTTGCACAGGGAGCCTCCCTCCGGGGCACACGTTTCTGCCTTAGCTCAGGGAGGGATGGGGCTCCAGAGCAAACTCATTTCTGCAGCCGCCCAATCGCTCACTCGCCACTTTAAGGCCAGGAGTTCACAAAGTAGAATTCTTGCTCACAAGACCCCACGGCTGAGAGGGAGCCTTGGGCAAGGCTGACCTGGACGGACCCAGGGGGGTCTGGCTTGGGATCAGGCCGCGCAGTTAACTCCGTTTCCCCTCCGTGTTTACAAGCGGCGTGCCTGCCAACTCGGGGGGGGGGCATGGAGGGCCTGGCGCTGTGCTCCGCTGGGGGCCGCAGGACTCAGGAGGTGGCGAGGGAGGGAGCCCCGGCCCAAGTGGGTGGAGAAGCCCTTGGGTCACGCTGGACTCGCAGCAAAATGGGGGAGGGGAGGGGGACCCCACCAGCGCCCCAATACCTGGGACAGCTGGAAGGAAGTCAAAGCCATTGTTCACTCAAGCAGCTGAGGCAGGGGAGCAGCTCTCCGGTTTGGGGAAGCGAGTTTATTAAATAAATACAGAGGCATCGCCTTGGGGGCCGCTCGCTCCAGCAACGCAAGCAGCTGCCGCCACTCCCTGTACATGTGCAAAGGTTGCGAGAAAGGGCCCTCCCGCACAAGCTGGCCGTGGAGGCATCGTCTTCACTGGGTGCAGCCACTTGTGGGGTCACGGGGTCCCAGGAGAAGAGCTCCCGACAGTGCAGAAACCGTGACTATTCGGGGTAGGGTGGGGGAATTTCGCTCCTGCAATCCCGGAGGCCAGCAGCCCCCTCCCTGCCCCCGCCCCCATGTGGGTCGCAGAGCTGAACGGGGTGGCTTGGGACTGGGAAGGGGGGGGCACCATAAACCCTGCCAGGCAAAGCTCTGCCGGACCAGGGGCCCGTGGCCATCTGAGCTCACGGAGGCAGAGAAAAGGTGGCGGCTGGGGGGCGGGCTGGCTGGCCATTAGCCTCCCGTGGCACAGTGGGAGAACGGGGTGGGGGACAAAAATCTTCCCTCCCCCCCCCGGCTGTTCCCGTTGGGCCACCCCCCCCCCTTCTCTTCCACCTTCTTCCAACAAGGCGGGGGGGATAGAGAAGAGCTCCCGACAGTGCAGAAACCGTGACTACTCGGGGGTGGGGTGGGGGAATTTCGCTCCTGCAATCCCGGAGGCCAGCAGCCCCCTCCCTGCCCCCCGCCATGTGGGTCGCAGAGCTGAACGGGGTGGCTTGGGACTGGGAAGGGGTGGGCACCATAACCCCTGCCAGGGAAAGCTTTGCCGGACCAGGGGCCCGTGGCCATCTGAGCTCACTGAGGCAGAGAAAAGGTGGCGGCTGGGGGGGGTGGCTGGCTGGCCATTAGCCTCCCTTGGCACAGTGGGAGAACGGGGTGGGGGACAAAAATCTTCCCCCCCCCCCCCCCGGCTGTTCCCGTTGGGCCCCACCCCCCCTTCTCTTCCACCTTCTTCCAAAAAGGTGGGGGGAATGCAGCTCCACCCCCTTGGTCTGGTGGGGAGAAACAGTGCCCGTCCAGTCCACGCTCAGCCGCTGGAGGGGGGAGGAAACCAGTCAGGCCGGGCTCCCCCAGGGGACACCCTGCCCCCGAGGCCAGCGGCCTCCGTCCCCCGCTCCTTTGAGAAGGCCGAGGCGCTTCTTGACCTTAACAGAACCGCCGCTGGCGCCACCGGGCCTGGATTTCTGGGAAGGGCAGGCCCTGGCTCAGGGACTGGCAGAGTTTCGGGTCCCCCGCCCGCCCGGTGTGGAGGGCGCACAACAAAGCCGTCCTGCAGGCATCCCTGCAGGGCTGACGCGGCGGGTGGCCCTTGTACATCAGGTACCAGAACCGCTGGAAGAGGCCCTCGTCCACCTGGAAGCGGCGCGTCAGCTGGTCCCAGTCCGCGGGGAAGGCGGTGGAGAAGCCGTAGGTCTCCCGGGCCCCGTAGAGGCGCTGCCAGCGGGGCACGGCGCCCGGGATGTTGGCCTCCGTCAGGTTGAGGATGAAGGTCTCATGGTCCAGCACCATGTGGGAGCTGCCTGGGTAGGCCCCGTCCAGCAGGTAGACCCGGTACCCTGCGGGTGGGATGAGAGGAAGAAGAAGAAGAGAAGAGGTTGGATTTATACCCCATGGCCCTTCCCTTGGAGTCTCAGAGCGGCTTACAAACTCCTCTCCCTTCCCCTCCCCACAACAGACACCCTGTGAGGTAGGTGGGGCTGAGAGAGCTCTTGACAGAAACTGCTCTTGAGCGAACAGCTCTGAGAGAACTTGTGACTGACCCAAGGTCACACCAGCAGCTGCATGTGGAGGAGTGGGGAATCAAACCCGGTTCTCCCAGATTAGAGTCTGCACACTTCACCACGACACCAAACTGGGTCTCTTCTGCCCCACCCTTCACTACCCGAAGGTGTCTCAAAGCGGCTGACAAACTCCTTTCCCTTCCCCTCCACACAACAGACAGACACCCTGTGAGGCAGGTGGGGCTGAGAGAGCTCTGACAGAGACTGCTCTTTTTCAAGAACAGCTCTTATCAGAGCTATGGCTTGCCCAAGGTCATCCAGCCAGGTGCACGTGGAGGAGTGGGGAATCACGCCCGGTTCTCCCAGGTTAGAGTCCGCACCCTTAACCACGACACCAGACTGGCTCTCCAGGAGAAGAAGAAGAGATTGGATTTATACCCCGCCCTTCCCTTGGAGTCTCAGAGCGGCTTACAAACTCCTTTCCCTTCCCCTCCCCACAACAGA